GCCTTCTCCCCGCACCTCGCCGTCGCCACACCCTTACCCGCACTGTCCACCTGCGGCAGGAAGGCCAGGTGCTCCTTATGCTCCTCCGACAAGTCCAGCAGCATCTTCGCTGCACACCCTTTTTCACCCAGCAGCGCCCTGGTCTTCCGCGCCACTTCCGGCTCCCGCGTCCAGGGCGAAGAGGGTCCGGCGCGGCAGCATCCTAAGTTTTGGGTTCCGGTCTACGACGGTCCTAGACTCGAGCGCCCCCTGCGGCGTGTTCTGGGATTGCGGGTGGAGGTGTCTGACTAGAGGAGTCTAGAGGCAAAGGCTGTACTGGAAATGGAAACTGTAAAATCCGACTCCCCCGCCCCCGTCACGTTTACAATACAATACGTTTACAATATCAATAGCTAATTTGTTAAGCCCTGTATCAGGAATGTTCTTACCACCACCCCCCACCACCTTCCTGGGGTGGAACGCAGGGATGCTATACCATTAAGCTACTTTCCCCAGCCCTTTTTGTTTTTGAGATGGGATCTGCTAAGGTGCGGAGGCTGGCCTTGAACTTGCAATCCCCCCATCTCAACCTCTGGAGTTGCTGGGATTACAGGCTTGCACCACTATGCCCAGCATGCCTTTACATTTATTATCTGATTTATGGTTCATAAGAAACCTGTATAGTAGGCTCATTATTATTTTCATTAGAGATAAGGAAACCAACAGACAAATCAAGCAACAGAAACATTTATGGAGTTATTTCTTTGCAGGGTTTTGTACATCTTATATATTTCATTTAACGCTCTCATCATTCTCTTCATTTAAGTAGCCACATCTCCTTATCACTAGTTATAAAGCAAAACTCCAGAGATATGTGAGCAGATCAGCGACAGAGATGGAAGGAGATGGTCGGACCCCTCACTTGCCTGGCTCCAAGACATGACCTTCTACACAGCAGCCAAACGCTGAAGCTGCCTTTTTTATTGTTTTTTTTTTTTTTTTTTTGTGGTGCTGGGATGAACCCAGTGCTTCACATGTGCATTATACCTGCTTTACTACTGAGCTACATTCCAGCCCATGTAATGAGGTTTATGAGTGATGCTAAAGTTAGGATAATAATGATGGAAATAGGAATGCTTGACGTATTCTCAGCAATGCCATTATTTTTATGTTTTGAGAATGCATAAGAATTTGGTCCCTTTTTCCATCTTCTCTTCTCACCTGCTATAGTTCACATATAGGAAACTATAGAATTGCTAATGGCTAGAAAGATGACTTTCCACCTTTCCTCCCCTTGGTGGGGGGGGGGAGGTGAGTGAGAGAAGGGAAAGGGGAGGAAGAGAGAGAGGCACTTCGCATACACCTTTCATAACTAGGAATGTGGGGACTGAATTAGGCAAGCATTCTGCCACTGAGCTACACTCTCAGCCTTTAATTTTGTTTTGAGACAGGGTCATGCTATCTTGCCCAGGCTGGCTTTGAACTTGTCACCATCCTGCCTCAGCCTCACAAGTAGCGGGCACTGCAGGTACGTGCCACTGTGACTGACAAACAGCAATTTGTTTTAATGTTTTAGCCTCTCCATCTGTAAAGTGGGTATTTTAAAGATTGCCTTTCTTTGCCATGCAGGGCTGTGATAGTGCTCCCATAAACTAATAAATTTACATTGAGAGACTTATTTTGATGATCAAATGCAACAATAAATTAGAATTAAGCAATTGAATGACTTGTAAACGGAAGTGCCTGTATTTTATAGGAGCAGGTTTATGTACACAAATAATTGAGAATTCCTCATAAGCCCATCTTAAAATCCACTCACCTAATTCAGATATGCATTGATTCACGCATATACTATGCCTCCAGAACTTGAGATGAATAAAACAATCTCCTTGCCCTCTAGAAGATAAAGACAGTAAAGTGGAGACAGACATGTGATTTCAGCAGTGTGATAAGTGGTGACACTTGTGGGATGAATACAGTGGCCGGGAAGCACAGAGAAGGGGCAGTTAACCCTAACTTCATCAAGATCAGAGTAAGTGTCATTGGATATCCTGTGCACGTTAATGATGCTTGACAGTTGCACCACAGGACAGGTGTGGCCATGCTTTCTGTCGATTCATGCTGTCTCTTCCAGGGCTAATATGGAAAGAGATCAGACATACAGTATTTTCCCATTGATTCTGGCAGAAAGCTGGGCTTCAGACCTTCCTGTGTTCCTTTCTTTTTAGGAATTCCACACCAGACTCTTTGCACAACACATTTCCTTGCCTGTGTTTTGATAAGACATAAAATATTGTGACCACTGCAAAAAAATCCCAGTTGAAGTCCGCACACATCACAGGGACGGAAGTGCAGTGACCATCCTTCCTCCCAAGCTGCTGCCTCATGAGTCCGCAGTTGGCACCAAATGCATGAGTTAACCTCTGGTATTTTCTTCATTATTTCAGTTTACTTTGAAAATTTGTATTATAAATGCATATTGTAAATGGGTCAGGTAAGACAATATTCCTTGTTGAATTTTCTCAAACACTTAATATTCTAGAGCAAGAACTAGAATGCTATCATCTCCCTGGAAACTCTGCAGTGCCCCCATCCTGGCACTATCTGCTCTTACTTTCTTTATAATAAAGAAGTTTACACACACTCCCTTACATCATTTTTTTAACACACTCCCTTACATCATCTCTTTAACATACTCCCTTACATCATCTCATTAACATCAGCTTTGTATCTGCTTTTGCCCCAGTTGCATAATATCCAACTAGGAATTCAGAAGTAAGTGTGCATGTGTGTGTGTGTGTGTGTGTGTGTGTG